AATAGGATATCCTTTAGGATATGACCTGGATCAAGTTGGTGAAGTGAAGCAAGGGCTTTTGAAACACTATTTATAATAGGATATCCTTTAGGATATGACCTGGATCAAGTTGGTGAAGTGAAGCAAGGGCTTCTTGATATACTATATCATTCATTTATTCGTCTAATACCAGGGCTGGGATATAACAAATATTGAAGTGGTTGAAACACTATTTATAATAGGATATCCTTTAGGATATGACCTGGATCAAGTTGGTGAAGTGAAGCAAGGGCTTCTTGATATACTATATCATTCATTTATTTGAAAGGCCCACATGTAACTCAACCGTAAGTCTGAGGACTTATAAAGCTAAAAATTAGGTTTCGATACCCGTGGTGGGCAGAGCACAGACAGCCCATTGTGATTAACAAGAAATACATTTTTTTTAACCACCATATTATCACTATTATTCGTTATTTTCTTGAATTAACCTTCTCATTCTTCAGAAGAACTGGCGAACCAGGAATAGTTTAATTTTATTCTACAAGAAACTGACACGTATATTTTTGGTTTTGTTTTCATCGTTGGTCTATTCAGAACTTGACGTTTTTAAGAACTTGGGAGAAGTGACCCAGCTAATATTATGCGAAACTCAAAATAAAACATCCTTTTTATCATCTTCAAACTAAACGTTCGAATTCGACTAATTTGTCCCGACTGAGTATTCTTTTGGCCTTCACTGATTTGTCAATTCTACACGGAAAACAAAATAAAGAATTATTTAATTTCATTAAAACTGTTTATAAATTAAATCGATACTGGAGTCCTCTACGATCTTACAACGCCACAACACCGCTCTTTACGATCTTACAACGCCACAACACCGCTCTTTACGATCTTACAACGCCACAACACTGCTCTTTTGTAGTGCTAAGTTGTACACGAGACAATAATTATATTTAACATTTCTGTGGTCACTTGACCTGCTCTGAGATAAAATATAATTATTGTCTCGTGTACAACTTAGCACTACAGAAGAGCAGTGTTGTGGCGTTGTAAGATCGTAGACTTACTGCTTATATATATATAAACATTTCTGTGGTCACTTGACCTGCTCTGACATATATATATATATATATATATATAAGCAGTAAGTCTACTATTTTACAACGCCACAATTCGCGGTTCGCAGATAGCCCACTGTGGAAGTTTTTTGTTTTTTTTAGTTCCTGTTAAAAGTTTCAAGAAAACGATTTTCACGTTACTGTGGAACCTTCCTATTTATATTTAAATCCTACACGAGCCACTAAGACAGTGAAATGCTCCAAGTTTACTGTAGCCAGTTATTGTTCTTGTATACCGGTCTTCACGGTGTTTAAAGTTTCCTGATTGGTCATGGAGCGGCTCCCTGTGCATCGCGACTTTTGATTGGTTCGCGGCGTTTTTCTAGCGTTCATTACAAAACGAAAAAGATGCTTTTACAGGTCTATGCACCGTTATCTGTGTACAGAATAACTACACCACGTGCTCACACGTGTTAGCTCTGGGCTTCTCTTGAATGTTTGACAACACATTTTCAAAGGTTATTTCTGTTGTATTTAAAACCCCTTATTTACATGCTAAGTTGTGTGATGTCACCCGCCACAGCGATGACAGATGACCAGCTGAGTCTCTCTCTTAGTAACTCCCCTACTCCAGAACTCTCACGTGCCTCCAACATCACCCTGCTGAGCTACTCTACTGACCATCAAGCTCTTGACCAGCCTGAGTTTTCCTTCTCTCAAATACCACCTGTCACAACCTTTCTTGCACATACAGCACAACACTATGAGCAGCATTGTGGACAGAAGGTGATGCGTGCCATAAAAACCGAATGTTCTTCCTCCATGTCCAGTGGACGATGTATCGGCCATCCACGAGTTCAGAGTAAACGCCGCTATAGTAGATGTCACGAAGGAGGCAGGAACGAAATCGTCGAACCCGCCAGACCCAGGAAACGAAGTTGTCAGAGCTTAGAGGAAATGCAGAACCAGCGCGTGCTGGCTAACGTGCGGGAGAGACAGCGCACGCAGAATCTAAACGAGGCCTTCGCAGCGCTTCGAAAGATCATCCCCACCCTTCCTTCCGATAAACTTAGCAAAATCCAAACACTCAAGTTAGCCACTCGCTACATCGACTTCTTGTACCAGGTACTCAGAAAGGACGAACCGGACGTCAAGTTGGCCAGCTCGTGCAGTTACGTGGCCCACGAGCGACTCAGCTATGCATTCTCCGTGTGGCGAATGGAAGGAGCTTGGTCAGGACATTAGGAAATCCAGGTATGTCGTTTCTGTTGTCTGTCGTATCTTATGAAATGGCTTCCAGAGGTTGAAATATATTTGTACGGTTGAACTTTTGATAAAAATCAAATCCCATCAGCACGATAATGTGTAAGTTCTTACCTAGAAACTACCAAGAAAATTATGTTCTTACAATATTTTTTTTCTATTATTTCGAACAGAACCAAATATATAAATATTGATGCATAGAATGAATTGATACCCAACTATCCATAAACTGCACAGTACTTATTAAAACATCATGAAACCCTCAGCTTTGAGTACTCCTACTTCACTGGGATAAGTCTGATTGTTTTGAGTACACTATATAACATCTCAGCATTTTTTAACATATTTGTCACCCAGAGTATGCGTTATTTTTATAATATGTATAATATTTTTTAGTTTAAAACTTTCAATTCTTTGCTGGTTGAGTACTAACAATATCTTGAAGGCTTAAGTAATACTCTGTGATTCCCAAGCACAGAGTATTATTCTCGAGTCAAAGTTTATTAACAGAGTATTGTTCTTGAGTCATAGTTTATAAACAGAGTATTATTCTCGAGTCATAGTTTATAAACAGAGTATTATTCTTGAGTCATAGTTTATTAACAGAGTATTATTCTTGAGTCATAGTTTATAAACAGAGTATTATTCTTGAGTCATAGTTTATAAACAGAGTATTATTCTTGAGTCATAGTTTATAAACAGAGTATTATTCTTGAGTCATAGTTTATAAACAGAGTATTATTCTCGAGTCATAGTTTATAAACAGAGTATTAGTCCCGAGTCATAGTTTATAAACAGAGTATTATTCTCGAGTCATAGTTTATAAACAGAGTATTATTCTCGAGTCATAGTTTATAAACAGAGCATTATTCTCGATTCATAGTTTATAAACAGAGTATTATTCTCGAGTCATAGTTTATAAACAGAGTATTACTCTTGAGTCATAGTTTATAAACAGAGTATTATTCTTGAGTCATAGTTTATAAACAGAGTATTATTCTTGAGTCATAGTTTATAAACAGAGTATTATTCTCGAGTCATAATTTATAAAAAGAGTATTATTCTTGAGTCATAGTTTATTAACAGGGTATTAGTGTCTCCTCATCTTATCATTAGCTAACTTCAGCCTCACAGTGATTCTTCATCTTATCACTGGCTAACTTTAGCTTCACAGTGTCTCCTCATCTTATTTCTGGATAACTTTAGCTTCACAGTGATTCTTCATCTTATCACTGGCTAACTTTCGCTTCATAGTGTCTCCTCATCTTATTTCTGGATAACTTTAGCTTCACAGTGATTCTTCATCTTATCACTGGCTAACTTTCGCTTCATAGTGTCTCCTCATCTTATCACTGG